AACTGGTGGGATCACAAGCCTAAAAAGGTTACAGAAAATGAACATATCAAACTACTCTGGGACTTCCAAATTCAAACAGAGTTTTGGAGCACAATACTCCTGACCTCACGATCCTGTTAAAAAACAAAGTAAGGATCGTCAATGTTGCAATCCCGGGTGACAGCAGGATTTAAGAGAAACAACTGGGAAAGCTGACACAATATGAGGATTTAAAGATTGAACTACACAAGCCAGTCAAGGTGGTTCCAGTGGTGATCGGCACACTGGGTGCAGTGCCTAGAGACCTTGGCCTGCACTTAAACACAATCAGCTCTGACAAAATTACCATCTACCAACTGCAAAAGACCACCTTACTGGGATCTGCACCAATAAATCACACAGTCCTAGACACTTGGGAAGTGTCCAGTGTGATCCAATACAGCGGCTAGCAGGGTGATCTTGTTTGCTGTGGACTTATCTTGTTGTGTTTCAAATAACAATAATCATCATAATCATATAACACTAGTAAACAATACATCTCGACCTGGAAAAGAATGGAATTTTATTACATCCATTTTCTACTATAGCGGTGTGTAACTGCCTACATCAGGCAAAGTAAATAGCAGCCACCTCCAGAATCCCTTACTGAGCATGCATGAACAGCAGAGCAGAGGAAAGGAGAAAGGAATATGCCTGTCTCACCAGCTTCACACAGTGAAAGCCAAATTGTTAATCTGTAAATTTGGTCACCAAGATTAAAATCATAAGAAAACGGGAAGCTGGTGAACGTCCCAAGATCCCATTCAAAAGGATCTTTCAAGTGGTCTTTAGAAGACTGAAAATGTTCTTGTCTTACTTATGCTAGCTTTATCTAACTTGATTGTTTCATTTCACACACTAATTTTGAAAAAAAAATGCTGAAATATATAGATCCACTATTTTAGTGGTATAGGAACCTATCCCTATTCTTTCCACATTGTTTCTGACGTTGGTACTGAATGTCCTCTTAAAGAAGGAACGCCTAGGAACACATCTAATTTGTTGACTGACGTATACTGTGAATATGAAAGGATCTCAGCTGTATATACATATTTGCCTCTGTTCTAGAGATATTTATGTTTTATATGTGTAGTGTGGGCAGATTTTTAAATGAATAGAGCTACTGTGTATCAGACAAAGAACCAAAGGGACAATGTAGAATTCACAATCCAGGTGGGAGACCAATTATGTCAAAGCTATTCATATTAAAATATTCATTCATAAGACACAATCTACATATGCAAAATTGAAATAAAAGAAGCTTGTACCAATCCTTTAAAACTAGAAATAACTAATTTTTGATAAAAACAGTGCTATTGTTTTTGAAAAGAATATACATGACGGATATAAATCCAAAAGTGAATGCGATAAAAAATAAAACATGGTTAAGTGTTTTTCTTTCTTTCAAAAAATTGTGCTTTTCACCAGCCCACTTATGACTGTATAACAGTCATTATATTTAATATACTCTATAAATATGCATTCTGTATTAGTTGTATTATTTTAACTACAATGGGTAATGTCTTAATGGTTGGTTGTCTTCAGATGATGATGATGGTCACTTTTAAGGGTACTGGTCTCCACAACAAAGAGGATTTAGTTATGAAGAAGCAAGAGAAGACTATTATGGGTATGATCCAGATAGTTAAAAACCTCTGAGTTATCTAAGTAGAGAGTATAACTGTTCAATGCAACTTTTAAAAACCCTTACTTCAATTAGATTATTAGTTTTAGTCTTATTTTCAAATGCAAAATGTCACCCTAGGATATGATTTATATTACAAGGGGCAAAGACAAACAAATTTTTAGCATGCTTTTTTGGATGTTCTTTTATGATACTTTGAGTCTGAGAATGGACAAATAAACAAAGGAAATAAGCCGTGATCCTGTGATACATTTTCTGCATAGAGAATTAAAATCAAACATGTACTCAACCGGATGAGTCTTTCCACTAACTTGCTTTATTTTTAACTCCATCATTTAAAACTCTTACCATGTTTGAGCATATTTTATTGCTATACATTCATTTATCATTTGGAAATTGAGAAGACAAACTTCACAATATTTTTTCTTTAATATGAAAAAGAAATATAAACACACAGACATATATGTAAAAAAATGCTTTTTAGTCTATGTTAAGAAACCCAAATTTTAATGGCCCCTTTAACTCACAAACTTGCCTGAAAAACTTGAACAGTTTTTTCCCTGATAAATGCCTCAAGGCATTTTAAAAGTGAAACATTTCATTTATTTATTTACTGTATTTTTACCCCGCCTTATCTCACCCCAAAGGATACTCAGAAAGACTTCCAAATTGACAATAATTACATTCCACAGTACAATATAAAACATATAAAATATAAAATTGCATTTGATGTTAAAATAAAAAATACAACATATAAATACATTTAAATAAGCTTCTGAAAACATAGCACATATTCCTGAAAATCATCATCCAAATCCGTTGCAATCATAGTTCTGTGGCTGCATATTGCATTGTAAACTACTCCCCAACCCATGACCAGTTTTTAACTTTCTTTCTAAAGGCCAGGAGGGAGGAAGCTGATCTAGAGTCACTGAGAAGGGAGTTCCACAGCTAAGGAGCCCCACTGAGAAGGTCCTGTCCCTCATCCCCATCAACTGCACCTGTGAAGAGGATGAGACCGAGAGCAGGGCCTCTCCAGAGTGGTTCATAGGGGGAGATATGTTCAGACCATTTAGGGCTTTGTAGGCTAAAGTCAGCACTTTGAATTGTGCTTGGTAGCAGATTGGCAGCCAGTAAAGCTGATGCAACAGGAGGGTTGTATGTTCCCTATATGCTGCTCCAGTGAGCAATCTGGCTGCTGCTCACTGGACTACTTGGTGCTTCTGGACAGTCTTCAAAGTCAACCACACATAGAGTGCAATGCAGTAGTCTTTTCGAGATGTAACAAGAGCATGGACAACTGTGGCCAAGTCTGGCTTCTCAAGTTATGGGTGCAGCTGGTGCACAAGTTTTAATTGAGCAAAAGCTCCCCTAGCAACACCTTCTGAGAGTGACCCTCCAAGAAATGACTGGAGCAACTGCAGAGCAGTACCTCCAAGTCCCATTCCTGTGAGGCACTCCAGAAAGATACCATGGTCTACGATACTGAAAGCCACTGAGAGATCCAGAAGAACCAATGGAGACACATTCTCCCTGTTGAGTTCTCTGCGTAGATCATCCACTGAGGAGACCAAGGCTGACTCAGTTCCATGCCTCAGTTAATATTCACATGATTACAACTTCTTACATGTTACATGGAAATTCTCTGCTCCAAAAGTACTATAGATGTATGAGTTCAGTGAAATCACTTGTAGAACATGCCTGGTTTCCAGCTGAAAGGAAAGTATATTTGGAGAAGTGAAGATTAACCTACATGTTCCAACTTCCCAAACTCTGCTGGTTCCCATAATTGCATTATATTCCTTGCAAATGGGAGTGACATGTTTTGCATGGTTCATTGCTGCCTTGCCTTACCTCCAGACTAGATGTTTACACAAATAAAGCAGTAGCTTTTCATGCCATAGCGCTGATTTACAAGGAGAAACAATGGAGGAAGGTGTGGAAGAGTGCAAATATAGCTGGCTTAATATTTAACTCAATTTATTCTTGTCCTTGTTCTTACATCCTTGTAAGAAATACAAATTTTCTCCTCCTCCTCCTTCAAGTTTGATAAAAATGACTACAACTCCGACTTTTCTATCCACTCTCCGCTCTCAGTAAAACCACATTTTCACGTATAGTATGCATTGCTAGTAATTTAGCTGTAATTCCCAAAATAGCAACTTTCTTGACTGAATTACCAAAAAGTAATACATACTCAAAAGAAAAGTACAAAAACAGGGCACTTCTATCCCCCTGAGTGACTTCTTTTTGTAGAACCAGAATGTATGCATTCTGTAGCATATGTACAGTTGTAAATAATTCCCTCACTTTCAGTAACTTGTCCTATATAGTTTTTAACAACATCCCAACAATTGCTTTTTGCCATTGGAACAATCTCAGTTGAAGAAATGTGTTAATACAAAAAAAAATACGTCGTTTCATTTTTCATTTCATTTCATTTCATTTTTTGTGAGTTGTGATGAAGCAAACTATAAGTGATGTGTTATGGTTATCAACTGCTTTGAGTACCCCGATGGAGGGAGAAAAGCGGTAAACAACTGAAGTAAATAAAATAAATATCAGTGGGACCATTTAGGAAGATATTCACATTTTGTTCAATTTTGTATTAAACATAACTTTGACTACTTAAGCAAAGAAATTCTGACTGGGATTAGAAAATACCCCATCAGTCGATCAGTGCAAAAGAGAATAGAATAAAATAAAAATTATGGTGAATGAAGGTTAACATATAATTCTATCATAACATTATTTCAAAGTGAATTTTACATGTATTGTCGAAGGCTTTCATGGCCAGAATCACTGGGTTGTTGTAGGTTTTTTCGGGCTATATGGCCATGGTCTAGAGGCATTCTCTCCTGACGTTTCGCCTGCATCTATGGCAAGCATCCTCAGAGGTAGTGAATTTTACATGTTTAAAGGTTTATTCTTACTCTATGTGAGTTTGAAAATCAACTTAGCTGCTAACATTCTCTATTTTGTAAGCCAGTACTGTACATAATGTTGCTTGTCTGTATTAATAGTGTACATAAAACCTAACCCTTCTCTTCCTAAATGTTAATAAATTGGTATGTTTTGCATTTTTCAACAAAGACTAACATTCTTGTGATATTGTTTTCCGGTTCTGACCAATTAATATTTTATCTCCTAATAGCAAATACAAGTTCACTTTCACAAGTTAACTCCTGTGTCCTTTATGTGATCACTATTCAAGGGGTTTTCCTACTTCTAGCACTTTTTCAAACTTTTCACCTACTAAGCCCAGATTATTCCAAGTATTTTGACACATTCAACCATGTGCATCATTTTGTGCTTTCTTCCCTGTGCTTTGTTCTAGACGAGAAGCCCAGTTGGATGAAGAAGGACAATTTCTAGTCAGAATTATATATGATGATTCCAAAACATATGATTTGGTTGCTGCAGCAACCAAAGTTCTCAGTAAGTAATTTTTTTACTTTTCTATAAGGTTAATTCACAAGGAAGAACTGAAGCTCTAGTACTTAGGATATGATGTCTCTTGGTTTACATTAATGTTTTAGTGGTGCCAGCCCACATTCACCAAATACCAAAACAATATATATATAGTTCATACAATGTGATTTGTTTTTCATGCAACTGCAGTAATGCCATTAAAATTATGATTTTATTGGCAAATGCAAGGGTAGTCATCATTACTAGAATAGGAGTGTGTTTCCATTACAATGCAAAAGGCAGCTTCAATTGACCACAGAAAGAAAAGTGTAAAATTCTCATTTTCTCAAAGGTGTCTTTAGTAATTGGGCAGTTTTTATGAGGGCTTCTATGCAAAGCAAGGGAATATTTTAGTTTAAAAATTGACTATTAAGATTTTCCTAAGGAGCTCTTCTATATAATGTGAAATGTTTTACATCCCAGTTACTCTCTGTCAAATCAAGCTTGCAAAACATATGGTCCATGGGCTGGATGAAGCCCGCAAAGGGCTTCCCCCTCGCTGGTTGGCCCTTCCAGAACCTGAAATAATTTAAAAGAAAATTTCAATCTACAGTGTTTTTATTTGTCAAGAAAGTTATAAGGGGTGGGCAATAACTTGTGTACATCTCATTTGTAATTTGCCAACTCACTTGGAATTTGTGGGCTGTTGCTTTTTTTATTCATTTTGCTTTTTGCCATACCCTTGGTCACTTAATTCTGAATTGACATTATTGTAAAACAAGGTGATTTGTTAGCTTCATAAAAGATATGGGGTGCTGATATCTTTAAATAATCAAAAATGCTTTCATGTTTTTTCTAGACCTTAATGCTGGAGAAATCCTTCAGATGTTTGGGAAAATGTTTTTTGTGTTTTGCCAAGAATCTGGTTATGACACCATCCTGCGTGTGTTGGGTTCAAATGTCCGAGAATTTTTACAGGTAGGTGATCTGTGACAAAGCATGAGCAGAGAGGCTCCAGGGTAAAGCCAACACTAGTCTCTTTTAAAAGGGAAAAAGCAGGATATAAATAATAATAATAACAATAACAACATGTTACATAATCTGATGGATATTTACTCAGAAGTAGGTTTTACTTCCACACAAGTGCACACAGGATTCTTTTAATTCAGAACCAAACTTTTCTTATTTGTGTGTATCTTATTAGAAAAGAATTTGTGTTTTACTGCATTATACTTGTATCATATATAAATAGTTTTTAAAATCCTCATTTGATCTGAAGAGTAACATAGGCAGACTTTAGTCCTATAATCTTAAATGGGAGTATTCCCATGGATATATTTCAGAGTAGAAGTGTATATAATTGCTGTCATTCGAGGGGGCATACTTACTAGGCTTGTGCAAGGATTTGGAGTGTTCGGTTCCCTTCCGCCAATCCGGTTTTTTCAGCTTGGTCAGATGGCCGTAATGGCAAGGGCCCAGCCATCACTTTTTTTGTCCATTATGGAATCACATGGTAGCTGATCATGGCTCCCCCCCCACCAAAAAAAAAATTGGCATCAAGCAGCACGCAAGGTGCTCCCGTGTGGTGCTCGCATGGGGTTTCCCTGTGAGCCCTTCCTGTTGGGCCAATTGAAATATAAGAATGCCATGACATGTCTTACTCAAGCTGTGTCTGCTTGTTTAACCCCATTGCTGAAACCTTGGCTCCCTTGAAGGGGGGGAAAAAAAGAAAGGGTCCCATGAAGGGTGCTTCCTTAACCCTGTTGCTGAAATCCAGCCCCCCTTGAAATAAGTTCTCCATTGCAACCAGTGGGGCAAATCTCGCCATATTTTTTGGCTGAGGACCGAAAATGGCTATCCGACAACCCGCCCATTTTCGGGAGGTGTGTGAAAACAGATACAGGGGGCTACCGGAATCTGGTGAGCAGAAACTGATAGCATTTCAGCCAAAATGCACAAGCCGAATACCAGTGTTCACAAATGTATAAGTGTGGTTATATGTCATAATTTAAAAAGCATAGAATGATAAGGGATAAAACCATCATATAGTGAATTGAGGTTCATATAATGATTTTCATATTTGTATGTTAGTTTAGTTTGAGTGTGTATAAATGTGTAGGTGTGTCTTTTGGGTTTTTTTAAAAACTTTTGATGTAGGTTTATTAAAAAGAAAATCATGCTAACCTCTTTACATTTACATTATGGGTCATTAAGGCTACAGTTGTAGGTTGGGTTGTATGTACTAAGCTCAGTGAATTCAGTACTGCTGAGAATACTTTAAGCAGATATAGGAAACAGTTTTAAAATCCAGTATAAACTAATTTAATTATTTTGTATTTTGATCAATCGGTTAAGAAATTGAATGGTCATTTTTCCTATTGGTGAAATTTTGAAGAATCTCAAAGTCATTAATTACTGAGAATTTATTGCTTTGTGTCCTTAGAGATGATACTGATGTATTCCTAATACAAAATTGCTTATGGGCGCCAAGCTGACTAGGTTTCCATTTTATTGATTTGTTTATAAAAATTAATAAGCAGATTATGGAACTATGTTGAAGTCAGTATGTGTAGCAGAAATGAACAAACTTGTCAAACGTGTATCAGGTATACTTTCACTTTTCCAACTTTCAAGTGTTGGAATTACTTTTATTTAAAGAATAGGCATTTAGTTCATGGCTATGAGCATTAAAAACCTATCAAAAATAATTTGTTTTTTAAAAAGCTACAGAAAGATCCATTTTATATAATGGGGAAGCTGAAAATATTGCTAATGCAACATGTAAAAGAAAGCCAGCTAGTAGATGAGTGCAATTTGAGAAATCCCAAGAGTGCATTTCACATGATTACTGCCCTGAAAATCAATCAAAGACAAAGTGGTGGTTAATCTAAGACACTTTAGGGAGTGCTTTATTTGCCTACTCATATTTTTAAAAATAGCAACAAAGGAAATATTCTTTCACATTTTACAGTACTAAGAAAGGAGTAATACAGAGAAAAAGGCCACCAGTATGCCCATTGTTTTATCACCTTTTTAAAATTTCATATATTCAGAACTAGTAAAACCTGCATTTTTAGCATACTGCTCCGATATTTTGCTATAGCCATGCTGGTCATTAATTCTTGGAGGTAAAGTGTAAAAAGAATTTGTAGCTCAAATTCAGTTGTCTAAGGAAAACACCTCAATTTTATTTATTTACGTAAAACACGGGGGGGGGGGTACAAAAGCAAGTAAGCCAGTGCATGTGACTGAATGTAAGAGAATGTGATCTCCAAATGTATATCTGCCTAGTTGTACACTAGCTGGCACTGCCCCCCCCCCCCCCCGTCCCGCCGGCGGCACAATGTGCCATGGGAAGGTGCTAACAATTGTGAGAGAAATAAGGTTTAACACTGTGAAGGCCTCTCACTATATGGCTATCAGCTTCCTTTCAGTAGACTTAAATCAAGGAAAAGTTTCATGAGAACCACAAGTTCTCTAAATTTTCCTCCAGCAACAGCAGGAATATCCCTGTGGGCAGCAAGATCAGGCAATTCCAATTGGATGCCCCCCCACTAGGGTTTTCCTCCAGGGTCAAACCAAGAACTTGGAAGTCCCTGAACAGACTCAGTAATGGAGTGGGCAGATCAAAAGACAACCTGGCAAAATGGCACTACCTAGAAAAAATCTTCCATCTTGTACAATTGTGGAGCACAACAAACAACCCCGCCTCTGTATGCTTGCCCACAATGCTCTGCCTCATGCACAGAGGAAGAATTGTTTAAAGCTACAGACAATACAGTCGCTGTTGCCTGTCTTTGATTTAAAACTATCTAGCAGCTTGTGATCCCTTTATTTTGTCAGTTCTAGATAAACTATTTTATCAGTTTTAGATAATTTATTTTATCAGTTTTAGATAAACTATTTTATGCAATGCTTTTTGACACAAAATAAAACTTGTACACTTCTTTTAAAATAAGATAAGATAGATTAAGTATTCATATGTGGGTGGGAAATTTCTCCATACGTTATTCTAGCAGTTTCCTTTGTGTCATTCCCCAATTTCAGTGATAAATCATGTGAAAAATTAGACTGTCATAGTTCAGTAACCATTAAGGGGAGACATTTGCCAACTATTTAGGCACACCTTTCACAGCTTTCTGATGTTCCAGCCATTCCCTGATGCTGCTGTGCTATACTTGCCAGCCAGGGTATAAGACATCCTTTTCTACTCCATCCAACCAATTACCTGACACTACTCATGATATGCATATAATACAGGCAGCCCCCGAGTTACTAACATCAGACTAACAAACGACTGATAGTTAAGATAGGGGGTGATACAACAGGAAGTGAAAGAAATCTATCCCTCAGGTGATAAATTCACTCCAGAAAGAGTTATCATGGGGGAAAGGTGTCTGAACCGAATTTTTTTCACCAATCCTTGTTTCCACAACAAGCCAAATTTTTCAAAATCCAATTATCACAGGGGAAGAAAGTGAGGTAAAATCTTCCAAACAGGAGCACAGACAGCAAAACGAACACCACAGGGGTATTAATCCTTTCTTATGCTATCCAAAGCTAAAAAGTCTAGATTTTTGGCTGAAGTTACACTTAGAAATGTACCTGTTCTGAATTAAATACAAATAAAGCTTAAGAACAAAGCTACAGAGCCGATCTTGTTCATAACTAGGAGAGTGCCTGTATCACATCTGGAATATATGATGTATTGTGCTGTAGATACTTCATTGTCCCATTTTCTATCTCAGCAATTTGTCCGAAACAACTCTTCGCCATCCTTACTAAGATTTGTCACATCAAACTGCTCTTTGTGATCTTTCCTCCCTTTTTAATACTTATTGATAAATAGCCATAGTAGTTCTAGTTAGCATGATGTCCTAAGTTGTTTTTCTACCTAGAGAGGGAATGATGCATGTCCTTCATATCAATTCACCTGCATGGAGAAATAGAGCTAGAAAATAGTGGTTTTAAATGGACAAATAGATAGATAAATTTGTTGCTATGTGCATTACAAGTCAACTCTTGATGGTTCTACACAGACTATTTAGGCCTGCATGGGGTCTCATCATCCTGTGGGCATCTTCATGTTATTTTACCCAAGAGGAGCCACTTAATGTGACTACACCTGGGTTAAAAAAAAACACAGGGCAAAGACCAAATTCTGCCACAGGTTTTAGGCTTTCCCCTGTGTTTGGGCAATTCAGACACCCACCCCTAATTCCTATGTAGAATGCATGGGGAGGAAAAAATACTTGGAGTAGCCACTGCCATGCAAACAGAAATGTATGCATCCTTAACAGGATTAAGTATTCCAGTAGTAGAGAAGTGTCATGAAATGATAAGAGCAATCCTTTCATTGAACATATCTCTTCCTATGAGCTGGTTAGAACATTAAGATCTGATGGGGAGGCCCTGCTCTCGGTCCCACCTCCTTCGCAGGTTCGATTGGTGGAAATGAGGGACAGGGCCTTCTAAGTGGTGGCCCCTCGACTATGGAACTCCCTCCCCAGTGACCTTAGACTGGCCCCCTCCTTCCTGGTTTTCAAGAAAAAGGTCAAGACCTGGTTATGGGATCAGGCATTTGGGGATTCGTGTAATATGGAATCAACAAATGGCAGCACAAATTGACAACAGCAGGACTAGGCATTATGTTTTAACTGTTTTAATTTTATTCATATGTTTTATCTGTTATTTATATTGAAATATGGCATTGAATTTTGCCAAACTGGAAGCTGCTCTGTGTCCCCATTGGCATGAGATAGAAACGGGTATAAATATAGTAAATAAATAAATAAACAAATTGCTGTCCTGGGATGGCCCACTTACCTTCCCTCATGCAAGAATTATTTGTGCAATATAACAAGTATCTAATATTTCTTTGGATAATAGATTATTTTACTGCTTTTGCTGAGTGTTTGCACTTTCTTGATGCTCTTGTTTTATTACTGTATGCACTCTTTTTGGATGCTTTTAATTTGAAAAGAAAAATGAGATTTTAAGGGGAAGCTATATCAATGAAAATGTAAAGCAAGTATGTTTTCAGAAGTTCTGGGCTCCATATAACCTCAGAAATTAATTTACTAGGCATTCATTTCCTTTGGAAATTTCCCAAGAGAAGGAGCAGCTGTTGAGACTTTTCATAACTCACAGGAGATGAAGTCCAAAGCTGTTCCAGAGTTTTGAGGATCTGCAGATGTTAACAGAGGGCACAATACATCTTGCACTTTAAAAACCTCTTGGTCTTTGATATGAAACAACATCAGCATCCAAAAAGTAAAAGTGGGTAACTAAAAAATATCGAAGGAGTAAAGGGAGAGCAATGCTTGGCCTGAAGTCAAATTTGGAATTAATATTCTTCAAGACAGTTAACATGTTGCTTTAGATCCTCTTTTTTATATATAAAAGTGCTCTTAATGGGTCTGTAGGAATGAATAAGTTTGAGTAGGAGTCCCCGGTGGCGCAATGGGTTAAACCCTTGTGTCGGCAGGACTGCTGATCGAAAGGTCAGCAGTTCGAATCTGGGGAGTGGGGTGAGCTCCCATCTGTCAGCTATAGCTTTTCATGTGAGGACATGAGAGAAGCCCTCCACAGGATAGTAAAACACCCGGGTGTCCCCTGATCAACATCCTTGCAAATGGCCAATTCTCTCACACCAGAAGCGACTTGCAGTTTGTCAAGTCGCTCCTGACACTAAGAAAAAAAGAAGGTTTGGGTTACAAATTGGAATTTTCTTCATTTTCCCATTCTTTTTAGATCCAAATTTATTTTATTCACATTTTACTGGGCTGCACTTACCCTACGTAATCACATATAAGTCTAGAAATTTTAGTTTTAAAAAAATCAACCCAAAAAACCTGGGTCAATGTAACCACTGCTCTATATATTAACTGTTATAAAAACAAAACAAAACATCTCCTTCTATGAGAAGAGTGGCCAAAGGAGAAACGGAAAGAAGCATAGACACCCTCTGTGAATGCCTGAACAAGGAAATGATATGGGGCAGCTGGCATCCTGGGGTAACATGAGCACTTTACTCTCTCCACCGAATGACCCATGTCTTATACACAAGTCACATCAAAATCCCTAATATTTGACCCAACAACTGTTTTTAATTTGTACACAAAGTTGATAACGAAACTATTGATCTCCTGTAGGCGTAGATCTCCACTGAAGATGTTATAGTATTAAATTCTAACTTTTTTTCCTGTTATTAAATAATCTTATTGCCTGAGATGGAAGAATTTATAAATGTCTTTTTTGTGCTGATAGGTCTATGGACTGTAATAAATTATTGTTATTGTTGTAATCTTATTGCAGAACCTTGATGCTCTGCATGACCATCTGGCTACAATATACCCAGGCATGCGTGCCCCTTCTTTTAGATGTACTGATGCAGAAAAGGGGAAGGGGCTCATTCTACATTACTATTCAGAGAGAGAAGGTCTCCAGGACATTGTCATTGGAATCATTAAAACTGTTGCTCAGCAAATCCATGGCACAGAAATAGATATGAAGGTAAGCTTTGAAGTCAAGTCTTATCAATAGTTTGCATGCTACAAATCATGTTTACCTTAAAAGTATTTTTTCTGCAGGATTTCATACTTTTGTGTTAGAAAAGAACAACACTGCCTTCCCAGCATGCAGTGCAGTACTCCTGTTGTCAGACAGATAAAGTGCTCTCATATGTAATTCTCATCATTACTCTATTATTTACATTTTAAATTTTGATTTATAGCTGTGCCATTTATTAAATAACCAACACAAAACCACAGAGGAAATGACATTAAAGGATATAAATGAGAATGGTATTTATTTATTTACATATGGACAATTATTCAATCCTTTAAAGACATACAATTCCAATAACATTAAAATTAAAGTTAAATTAAAATTAATAGGTAAGATAAAGGTAAAGGTAAAGGTTTTCCCCTGACATTAAGTCCAGTCGTGTCTGACTCTGGGGGTTGGTGGTCATCTCCATTTCTAAACTGAGGAGCTGGCATTGTCTGTAGACACCTCCAAGGTCATGTGGCTGGCATGACTGCATGGAGTGCTGTTACCTTTCTGCCGGAGTGGTACTTATTGATCTACTCACATTTGCATGTTTTCGAACTGCTAGGTTGGCAGAAGCTGGGGCTAACAGTGGGAGTTCACACCGCTCCCCGGATAGCAAGCTCAGCAGTTTAACACACTGCGCCACCGGGAATATTAAAAACATTACATTCAATATTCAAACCACACCATCTATAATTGAAATTAAAAGCCACTCCATAGTCACTGCACATATTCCAAATCTGTACAACCAATATAGATAACGAATAGGAATGTAAAAATGCAAAACTGAATAAAATACTAGTTGAGTCTCCTTTTTCCTGAAATTCAAAAACATCTTTCAGTTGCAAGCTCTGTTGTGGCCAATCCCATCATGTTTTCCTTCTTTCTGGCCAATGGTGGGATGAGCACCTTTGAAATGAGGTGCCAATGCAATGTGGATTGGCTAGATAGGTGGAACTTTGCAGCATTCCCTGAGCCCATGGCAGCTGGATGCATATTGGACTTTTCCCCCCTCTGATGTCTGCTTTTTACAGGAGATTTGTGTAAGTCTAACAGCAGAACTCCTCTATACTTACCTTTCCTTCTTCAAATTTCAGACCTTGGGGGAACAGCATTCCTTTGAGGAAAAAAAAACCTCCGAATGCACTGAATGTGTAACTAACCCCCTTTCTCACTTCTCATTCACAATGCATATGAAAATACAAAAAAATAAAATTTCAAAAATTGGGAAAAAATGTGAAATCTAAAAAAAACCCTCTAGTCCCAAGCATTTTGAATAAGGGAGGCTCAACCTGCACCATGACTTATAACCAAAAAAAAAAAAAACCCCACAGTATTTGTGTGCATTTGTTATCCATATTCGTTCTCAGTAACATATTTATTTATATTGTTATTATATTATTTAATATTCCTGTAATTTTTTTCTGATGGTCCTTTGTGTTTTATGCATCTGTGGTTGAGACCCCTCCTTTTTGTATTTGTTTATTGATTGATTGATACCATCCATGAAAAGTTTGTATTCTTCTACACTCACAATGTAGGTTTTTTCCACATGAGATCTTACTTTTCATGCATAACTATTTTATGGCAGCGTGTCACCCCAACACAACCCTCCAGTTTGGAATCATGGATTGGTTTATGATGGAAAAGTAAACCTAAATGGCAGTGTAGCTTAGACTAAACACTTGATTTGAGTATGGCAATGTAAATAAACTGAATTTGCATCAAAAGAGGTGTGACTGCAACAGATAGTTTGGAACAGAAGGAGACTGGGCCCACTCAGCTCTAGAGATGGAAAAGAGATGACTTCACCCCCCAAAACATTTAATGTTATGTTACTAGGGGCCTCAACAAATGGAGCCCTTTTCCATTTCTTTTCTTTTCCTGTTTTAGTTTTGTTTTTTGTGCACACATGAACATATTGTGTGACTCAATTTGTTCTTAATCATAGTTTTAATTGACAGATGTACACAGCCTGCTGACTTCTATTTTCTAAAACCCCTTTTCCTTGGTGCTCCAGCTGCCTCTCCGCATAGGCTCAGATGCCGGTCTTATTCTGTAAGGTTACAAGTTCCTTTTGGAGATTTTAAATTTTAAATTAAATTCCCAAACTTACGTACTAGCAAATATTCTGTATACATCGAAAACACTAACTTATTTCTGAGTGCTTGCTGTCTATTAATAAAATTTAAGATCAGTTTCCTTTCAACTTAGAGATACTAATATGCTATGACGCAGTAAAGGTAAAGGTTTCCTCTGGCATTAAGTTTAGTCATGTCCAACTCTGGGGGTTGGTGCTCTTCCCCATTTCTAAGCCGAAGAACCAGCATTGTCTGTAGACACCTCCAAGGTCATGTGGCAGGCATGACTGCATGGAGTGCCGTTATATTCCTGTTGTAGCGATACTTATTGATCTACTCACATTTGCATGTTTTTGAACTGCTAGGTTGGCAGAAGCTGGGGATAACAGCGTGAGCTCACCTCACTCCCCAGATTCAAACCGGCGACCTCTGGTCAGCAAGTTCTGCAGCTCAGCGGTTCAACCCGTTGTACCACCCATGCTATGCAATATTCTGTGATTAAGTTTGCTTATTTATAAGGATGATTTTAAAAAACCCTCAGAGGACAGCCACCATCTTGTTTTAATATATATTTTGCAATGTAAAAAGTCTAAATTTTCATCATTGCTTTTGTCAGCTTAGCACAACCTGCCATTCTGGAATCGTAGATTGGTTCCACTTCTCCCTATGCATATACACCAATATAATTAAGTTGTAAATTTAGAGTTCTTTAAGCAATATAATACACATCTTTAACCTGAATAAATGGAAAATGGACATTCTTTCCTACACCAAAATCAATTTAAAAGACACACTATTTGATAAAGTGATTTTTCCATTGATGATTTAATTCTGTTTTATAGGAAACAGTTCTGAACACTGCTTCCTTTTTCCCTTATTCGGTTAATTTACTTTGGGCTATTTTTATATACCAACATTGAGTGATATGTTTTTTGGCTTTTGGGAGAAGTAAAACAATCACATGTATGTCTATATTCTCTTACAACAATTTCAGCAGTTTAATAAAAAAAATATTAAGCTTTAATATATGTTGAGGAACTTGGTGTAGGGGAAGAAAGGTTTTATGCCCTAGGCATTACTCTTGACGTTTTTATCCTAAGTAATTGGATATATGGTGTCCTAAATATTCAAAATCAGTATTTTATTGTTTCATTTCTTTACAACATGTGGTCCCATCAGTGCAAGTAATGGGGGAAAGGCACATTTTAAAGTTTCTTGTGATGTTCACATGCTTTTTTTCTTAGTGTCAGGAGCAACTTGAGAAACTGCAAGTTGCTTCTGGTGTGAGAGAATTGGCAGTCTGCAAGGACGTTGCCCAGGGAACACCCGGATGTTTTGATGTTTTATCACCCTTGTGGGAGACTTCTCTCTTGTTCCCGTAATGGGGAGCTAGAGCTGATAGAAGGAGCTCATCTGCACTCTCCCCGGATTCGAACCTGTGACCTATTCGAACCTGCAACCTAAACCCTGCCGGCGCATGGGTTTAACACATTGCGCCACCGGGGGCTCCTTTTTCACATACGTATTGCAGAGAACATAATTCTGCCTATAATAACATAAACGAAATTGTGTGAGAAAGGATTGAGAACATGTGGAAGAATTACTAAATCACAGGAGTAGATTTTTATAGACTATATTAACTGTCTATCATGGAAGGAAGCTGTGATTGAATCATGACGGTCTGCCACAACATAGAGGTCATGTAGATGTCAAACCATGCCTAACCTCTCAATCAAGGAAGATGTGACGTGTGCTACAGAAAAATGAAACTTTATAAAGGTATTAGCTGGTTTGATCTAGAAACATTTTCCGTGCAGTGTGTTCTAAACAGATAAGACATTAAAGGGAAAGAAATTATTCTGTATCTGAACAGAATTTGCGGAGTGCAACTATGGCGACTTTTGATGAAGCGTTCATCAATGCTGTGTCTCTTTAAAAGCTATCATTGATCCAAACTACAGCAATTGAACAGAGTTAAATTTAGCTTGGAGCTTTGTTCCAGTTGTCTAAGCCAGAGATATAACATCTTTTCACACTGAATTGGCTTCACTTCATTTGGTATACAAAAATAGAATAATACTAATGCTAATACTGATACTGTTACTATTATTGCTACTAGTTCTATTAATAATTAACAATGTTGTGAGCCACTCTAGATGATTTTCGAAATAGTGAGATGCAGTAGCAATACATGAATAGATGACTGTTATATGAGCCAAAACTAATAAAATGAAGTTCAGCAGTGACAAATGCAAGATACTCCACTTAGGCAGAAAAAATGAAATGCAAAGATACAGAATGAGGGATGCCTGGCTCGAGAGCAGTATGTGTGAAAAAGATCTTTGAGTCCTCGTGGATAACAAGTTAAACATGAGCCAACAATATGATGTGCAATTTTGGCCTGCATAAATAAGAGTATAGTGTCTAGATCAAGGGAAGTCATGCTTCCCCTCTATTCTGCCTTGGTCAGACAACACCTGGAATCACACTATGTCCAATTCTGGGCACCACAATTTAAGGGAGATGTCGACAAGCTGGAATGTGTCCAGAGGAGGGTCTGGAGAACAAGTCCTATGATCAACTCCAAAACTCAAGGTCAATCCCCACCAAACCCTTCCAGTATTTTCTGTTGGTCATGGGAGTTCTGTGTGCCAAGTTTGATTCAGTTCCATTGTTGGTGGAGTCCAGAATGCTCTTTGATTGTAGGTTAACTATGAATCCTAACAACTACATCTCCCAGATTACAAAATCAATCCCCCCCAACCCCACCAGTATTCAAATTTGGGTGTATCGGGTATTTACATTATGATTCATAACAGTAGAAAAATAACAGTTATGAAGTAGCAACAAAAAAGCCCAACTGACAAAAGTCCTTTGTCT